CTCCCTCCCTCCCTCCCTCCCTCCCTCCCTCCCTCCCTTCCTTCTCTGGTGATGCAGGGGTTAGAATGCAGCATTGCAGGCTAATTCTGCCAACTGCCAGCAGTTTGATCCTGACTGGCTCAAAGGTTGACTCAGCCTTCCATTCTTCTGAGGTCGGTAAAATGAGAGTCCAGATTGTTGGGGGCAAGAGGCTGACTCTGTAAACCGCTTAGGGTTAGGGTTAGGTTTAACATCTTAAAGCGATCTGCCCAAGTGGCCTCTCAGGTAATGGAGAAAGAATTGGCTACTGGGACATACTGGGAGATCCAGTTGGGTGTAGTAGTGAAGGCATCAAGCTAGAAACCACTTGATTGTGAATTATAGTCCCACCTTAGATACAAACCAAGCTGGGTGACTCTGGGCTAGATACACGGAGTCCTCCACTCACAACAGTTCATTTAATGACTGTTACGGCACTGGAAAAAAACAGACTTGTGAACATTTTTCACACTTATGACCACTGCAGCATTCCCATGGTGACATGATCGAAATTCAAGATGTTTTGCGGCTGGTTCATATGGCAGCATTCTGGGATCACACGATTTCCCCTTTGGGATCAAAGTCCCTGGGGGAAGCCAGATTCACTCACTCACTAACTTAACTGCAGTGATTGACTAACAACTGTGTCAAGAACAGTCATTAAATAGGGCAAAACTCACTTGACAAATGTTTCATTTAGCAGCATAAAATTTGAGGCCAATTGTGGCCATAACTCAAGGACCACCTGTTTCCTCCCTTCCCACCCTTGTCTTGTCCAGGAGTTGAAAACACTCTGATTGATTGATTGATTGATTGAATGAATGAATGAATGAATGAATGAATGAATGAATGATGAATGAGTGTGATGAGCCAGAGTGTAACACAAACGTAACAAAATCCAAAATGTAAATAAATGTCCTTTAATGCCTCCAACTTGGCCCCACTGTTCAATAATTCTCACTTGCAGATAAAATTTATTCAAAAATGGTCTTCAAAAGAAAGCAATACTGTCCGAACTTAATGAGCAGATAGAGGTGAAATAAAAAACCCAGAACAAACTACCATGAAGAAAATTCCACAACAGACCAGGATAAGTAATTACCAACTTCAAGGAGATAACAAGGCACAGTCTGTTGCAAGGACGCCAACCAGGATAACTTCAGCCCCAAATAACACACGCTTTGCTTCTTGCAGCACTGTGTTTTAACTGTCTCTCTTATATACTATTCTCCCAGGCTACAACCAATGAGGGGGATCATGGCCACTTCCTCTCTCATAAGCCAAGTTGTTTTCTTCTCCGTTCCTCCCTGCGTGTCCTAGGATGAAGAGGGGATGGGCCTGGTTCTTCCTCTGACCTTCCAGCCGGCCTCTGCCCTTCCCCAGCCTCCTTCACAACCTCCAGAGCCACACTTCCACTCCCTGTCACCTGTTCCTCCTCTCCCTCAGAGTCCGACTCTAACAAGAGCATGACAGTGCATGTATGTATGGTTATAAATGAAATGCACACATAATGATATAAAATAATACTTCATTATTATACCTGAAGTGTTTTTTAATAAAAAATAAGAGTTTTGTCATTCATAGTCTTTTAAAAATCTTTTAATTTTCCATTTTCAATATTGCACTCAATACCCTGTTTATTCTTTTCCAACAAGATAAAAAACCTTGCCGAATTACATCATTCCATTTTACATTGTTGGTCATTTGTAGTTTTATCCACAGTTAAGGAAGAACCCTCATTACAAAACAAACAAAAACCAAGGGACTAAGTTGTTAAAAAAATGTATAGCTCAATATTTTTTAATACATTGCAGAAATGAAAGCATGACCAGAGAGTCGTTTGCTTTTTCAGCAAATCTTATTAAAGCAATAAGCAATATTCCGGCTCATCCTTTTCTAAAACAGGACAATCCAAAGCTATTTTACAGAAGTCTTTCCCTTCCCTTCCCCCAACGTTCCTTATCAACACCACAACATTGTAAAATACGCAATACATAATTCAAATTTCACAAGCTGGGTTCCTTAGAGAATATATATGCAAAACTGTACACTAAAAAAATAATATAAATAATAATGGGAAATGCTAAAAAGAGATGAAGTTATACCATGATCCGATGTTTTCAGAGGGGGGCTCTGGAGACCACCTAGATTTCGACCTCCCTGAATCTAGAACATGGCTATTGTCTTCTACTGCAACTACCTTCATATCCCAGCAAGCAAAGTCCAAGTTAATAAGGGAGCACCAGGTTGAAGAAAGAAAATGAAGGAAACATTCACGATTGGGCAGGAGAGCTATAGGGGAAATTATATGGGTAACAGATGTTGACATACAGTTGAGCTTCTGGGTCCTTTCATCATTTTTTTTCTCTTTTGTACTATTAGTATGTACAAGGTGAGTTACGTTGAGGCTAATGGGGACACATTACACGAGATTGAAGCCACCTTCCTGGCTGATCTACAACTTTAGAAAGCAGGAGGGACCTGCTTGACACAAGTTGAACAGCTCATCAGCATGCCTTCTAAACTATCTCCAGATTAAAATTTCACCCACCTGCCAAAAACCTACTTCCATATAATAATGACCCTAAATGAGACTTGGGTAAATAATTTGCTCCTGTTTTGGGGTTAAAGTGGGATATGGTCATTGGATGGCTGTAAAACAGGCCATGCAATCAATTTGTTCTGACCCAGGCTTTGTGAACCGTAATTATTCACAAACTTATTTTAAAAACAAAACCTATTTTATTGCAATGCTGGGAATTGTTTTTTAGATTAGATTAGATTAGATTCAACTTTATTGTCATTGCACATGAACACAGGCAACAAAATGGTTTTCATCCCCAGCCGGAATTAATCTCAAACAGCCCCCCGAGATAAGCACCCACCTTTCAGTTCTGTGGAGTGCTGCCAAAAACAGTAGTATCCAATGAACTAGAACAGAAACCAACTTGAGTACAAAACAACAACAACTGAAGTACAACGAACTTCAAGGATGACTCAGAACCGATCTACTTTGCTTCCTGCAAAGGTTTCGTCACCTTGGCCTGACTTTGATAACTTATGGGAGGGGCAATCACCTCCCAGCCTTACTTCTGAGTCATGCCTTTTGTTTCAGCTGCTCTAACCTTCTAGCAGCTCTGTGCACACGCACATTGGGAACAGGCTTCCCTTGTTCCTCTGCCTCGCTGCTGCCAGACTCCAAAGGCTCTGGAGGCAGCACCCCACTCCCAGATGGTCCTGGCCCCATCCCTGCATCAGATGCAGGACCCTCATCCGAGTCCTCTCCAGACTCCCTGACTGGTCCCTGTCCTTCCCCACTGTTCAGTTCTGCTGCCATTTACACCAGCTGCCAGTGAACCACAACACAACTGACTGAAAACATTGAATTAAACATTTGGCATTGGACCACGACAAACATCAATTGGCTAGTTGCATCCCATTCTGATCACATGTCTTTGGGAGTGGGCAGCTCTATAAAATTAATTAAATTAGTTCTGCAATCATGAAGCAGATGCCACAGGTGTGTTGTAGTGCTTCAACTTTGAAGACCATCGACAAAGTCACCGGTGGGAAGGCAACCATCAATTTAATGTTCTAGGAAATTGGTGGAGATAGTAGCAGTTATGGGACTTGGCTTTGTTTCTCCATCGTCCCTGTTCAAAACAACTCTTGTGTTTCCCTGATGGTTCAGTTTGCCAGCTTTCCTTCCACTTTAGGAAGGAAAAGTTGGTTTACAATCACCAGATTAAGTTAAGAAGACATAAAACCACATTCTTGGTTGTGTTTATGTTCAATCGGTACTATGTATACTTCTCTACCTAGGGACTGAAAAACATGACCATTAGCCATCCAATACCAAATGTTAGAATTAAGGGAATTTGCTTAATTGATAAATTGATCCATCCCTCCAATAAAATACCTCCAAAGAGCTAAAATATTGGTTCATAAAGCTGAGAGATATAATATTTGATTTTGTATAAATGGAATTATATATATTCTCTCTTTTCTAATCCTAATCTTGTCCAGATTCCTTCGAATGTTTCTGCCCAGTTCCACAGAAAATAATATTAAATCATCCCAAAAACATTTTCTGCTTCTCAACTTTTGTGAACATGGCTGCTAGTCCTTCAACCACCAGTTGACTTCAGCTGCTCTAATCCTTAAACCATTTGCCATGTTGGTCCTTGGAAATCCAAGTTCATTTTGCTTGGAAAGTGTTCCCACTTTCCCTCTCAACAGTGATTCCACTGAAGGGAACAAGAGGTAGATTGAATTACAGCATCAGAGTTGGTCAACCAGAAAGCAGAGGTGGAATACAAAAGGGCTTTTGACTGTTCTTCTGAGATGTTTTTCAGAAGACCGAATGTCTACAGAATTGAGTGTCAGTATTTTGTTTAACAAATATGAGTGACACCCCCCACTGCTAATATTAATGATTGAGTGTGAAGTCATTTTCTGTCTACCCCAGCCAGCACCATAAGAATATTATCATAAACAACATGAGAAGAAAGATAGGATAAAGATTCAGAGGTGGTATTCAGCCGGTTCGGACTGGTTGTGGAGAACCGGTAGTGGAAATTTGAGTAGTTCAGAGAATCGGCAAATATCGGCTCTGACTGGCCCCGCCCCATCTATTCTCTGCCTCCTGAGTCTCAGCTGATTGGCTGGTCTTTTTTGGTTGCCCTGCACTGGAGAGTGGAGCTGGAAAGCAGGTTAGTGGGGTGGGAAGAGAATGGGGATTTTGCAGTAACTTTCCCCCAGGAGAGGGGAGGGAATGGAGATTTTATAGTACCATTCCCCTGCCATGCCCACCAAGCCACGCCCACCAAGCCATGTCACACCCACCAACCTATGCCCACAGAACTGGTAGTAAAAATTTTTGAATTCCACCACTGTAAAGGTACCATCAACAATGGGTGAGACTTGATTGCAAAGGTCCAGCCGCCATTTTGATTTTTCTGACTCTTCTTCTCCCCTCACAACCCTGGTTTAATAAGGGCTTTATTCTGATTGTGTCATGCTGTTTCTGACAGGTGCCAATTATTATTAATACCATAGAAACTTCATGTCTATGATATCATATCGAAATGAATCCATTTCTTCATAAAATTGATTAAATGTTGGTGTGACGGTTTGTGCTCCGGGCTTCCAAACATTGCGTTGAAGCGTCTTGCTTTGGTTCATCTCTGCTCTTATCGATCTCACTTGGCAACCTTCACTTGCCATCACCAGCTGGTCAATGACCCACTGACCACTTGACCACATGAGGTCAATAAAAGCAGAGAAGAACCAAAACAAGACACTTGAACCATAGTCTCATTGAGGATGCCACTTTAGTCCAGTAATGAAACATTTGAAAGCAAAACAGTAAGCCCGGAGAACAAGCCAACATCTTAACCACCCAAATATCTACAGATCTTTTCTACCCTTTCTAAGTTGGTTAAATCTTGTGCTTTTCTTAACTGCACTTTGAGCCCTGAAGATCCAAGCATTTGTACAAAGTGTTCTCTTCCCAGTACAAATATCCACACCCAAAGTGCTTTTCAATTCAAAGTTATTTTGGGTGAAATCACAGGGAATTTGCTTCTGAGTAAACTTGCACGAGATTGGGGTGCAGGATCACTTCTTCTGCTTTCCAAGAAATGCATATTTCAGCACTTTTAAATTTCAGATATCTGGAGCATTAAATGGAAGACAAAATTTATCCACTGTAACCTATCAGAGTTTTTTTTAAAAGCTGAATTTGCCTTGTATTCTTCTTGATATTTTTAGCCAGCAAATACTAAGGTCATTATACAGACTTCCAGGCTGTATTTCCTACCAAAGCTGAGCCCTTTTAAAGCCTCAACAATTCTGACAAAAGAGATTCAAGTATGTGCATTTTGACTTGGATTTCCAAGTAAATACAATTCTATATCTGCATCTAGATAAAATTCTTTATAGTAGTACATTCCAAGAAATGTAGATAGCTTTGCAATAAATGGCATCATGAGAAAAATGATGGATACATTATCAGCTGTTGGAAAAACCAGCCCACGAGGCAATAAACAGAACGGGTAATAACAGGATGCAAGGAACATGAAACTGTAATAGAGCACATTTCAAGATATGAATTAGTTCTCTTTTTGATCTTGGTGACATAATACTTTACCTTGAAGCAAAATGCTAATTTTCTTTTCAGCAGTATGGGCTTACAATCATCTCGGTATCCAGGTTTCAACCTGGTTGACTGGCAAGGCTTCTCAGAGATGTGAAACAAAAACGTTGAGGTGTTATTTCCACATGCCACCAAAAGTTACGAATTGCAACATCTTCTATCTAAAATGTGTTCCGAATACCCAAGTTAAAAGAGTTAAAAAGGGTTTCTCCAAATATGGGTCAAAACTTATTCTACACATTGCTCTCTTTGATCTGAAGGCTGGTTTATATAATGCTACTACATGTCAAGAAACTATTGTTTACCATGGAATCGGACCACTCAGTGTGGCCAGTGCACCGTGGCCAACTTGCCATAGTCCTCGCCACAGGATGATTCAACAATTCAATTTAGTTATTTAAAAATGGTTTCATTTTTGTCATTCACATTTAATTTTGTCCTTCCTTTGACGTCTTTTCTCTAATGACTTCATTCTATCATTTCTTTGATATAAGTGTAACTCTTGTCCCATGGCGAGTTGGTGATGGCGACTTAGTCCACAGTGAGTTCGCCGTGGCGAGCTGGCTATGGTGAGGTGTCCTAGATCCATTTACAAAGCAGGTGAACATAATCAGACACCCTCACACCCAACAACAGAGGTAAAAAGGTTGTGTGTAAGAGCAATAGGGTATCTCTCATCCAGTTTTGGGACTCATTCTGTGAGTTAATGCTTCTGGAATACAGGGTATATTTTTAGGGCATTTCACTTCTTAAAAACACATTGTTGACATAATTTAATCTTGTCAGGAGAAAATCTTGTGAATGCCACGCTGTACTCTCTTCTTCCTCACTATCTTGTGTCTATAAATAAAAAATGGCCATTCCTGCATATACTACGGAGATATAGCAGCTCAATTCTTCAACAATTGTTCTCTCAATTCAGCCTTCAAATAATTTAGGTCCAAAAAAAAGTCAAGTGCTTTAGAAAGATCATAGATTGCACAAACCACAGAACCTACAGTACTAAAATATAGAGAGAGATAATTTCTTTAACGCACACCTCAACCAGCACTTCTTGAAGGTTTGAGGAAATCCATTTGGTTGAAGAGATCTGGGTGGTGCACACTATATTACACATTTTGTTACAATGGCATAGGCCTGAGCTCTCTAAAACATCGGATTGAGGGGACACAGTTTGAAAGCTCTTGCTGAAAACCTGATCCAACTGGTAATATATGATACGATATAGCTCATGGCTAGATGTCCTCCTTGTGGGTTTGCTGACGCTGAAGAACGCAAAGTAGATTCGGACTTCTACAGGACTGCAAATGAGAGAGTTTTAGCAGTGATGGGCCGAAGCACAGTTGGTCCATTGATCTCTATAAAAAAAGCAAGCGGAGTACTTGTCTGCAGGCCTTCCTCAGGTCTGGAGACAAGTACAGGACTTTGATTGTCCCCTGTCTTGAGCAGCTGTGAGATAAGGCCTTGACCTTACTGATGATTTAGGCGCGTCGTGAGACGTAGACACGACTTAAGGGCTCCTGACAACTATTGCTACCCATCCCTGGTTCAATCTTCTCACTGAGTGCAAGTCACTGGCCCGCATTCCCCGTCTCCCGCTGTAGGCAGGCCCCTCAAATGTTCTGTCCTCGGACCTCCATTCTCAGCGTCTTCCCCCACCTGCTGTCTGCTACAATGCTGTGGTGCTCAAGTCCGCTTGCTCTGCTTTCGTGGCCTTGGAAAGACAGTTCTCTTCATCAGCCAGCGAGACGGGGTTCTCATGAACTTCCATTGTTTTCGTGTGCTTCTCATCTTCGCTCGGGGCGGCCTTCTTGTTTCGACAACGTTTGCAGCAGCAGCAGCAATACCGGCCACAGGCCATGCCTGCGGTGGTGATGACTTTGTCCCAGGGCCGCAAGGAATGCATCCACCGAGGAAGGAAATCCCAATTCTGGAGCTGCTCCGGGAGCAAGTGTGGCTTCTTCTTCTGCAGGAGGTTGATGGTGACCACAAAGATCAAGACCATGAAGACGGGGACAGCAACCCCAACCAGGTAGGGCCAACCAGCCACCGAAAGGCCAAACACGGCCAAGGGGACCAAGAAGAAGCAGGAGAGGAGGTAGAAAATGGCGAACCATCTGTACTTGGCAGTGATGTTCCCCAGAGATTTTGACAAGCGAATGGGGATACGCATAAAAGGAATTGGATACCAGAGGATGATCCCCGAGATATTGAAAAAGAAATGGCACAAAGCGATCTGGAAACAAAACACAGTTCAAAGGAGATGTCAGAGGAACATCAAGACAGTGAATCGCATGTACATACCAAACAATTATCTCTTGTTTTCTTTTCTGACCCTGAAACCTCTTATCCAGAGGTGAGATTCAGCTGGTTCTGACCGGTTCTAGAGAACCGGTAGTGGAAATTTTGAGTAGTTCGGAGAAGCGGCAAATCCCACCTCTGACTGGCCCCGCCCCATCTATATTTTGCCTCCCATTGAATCCCAGCTGATTGGCTGGGTCTTCTTTGGTTGCTCTGCCCACGAGAATGGAGCTGGAAAGCAGGTTAGTGGAGTGGGGAAGGAATGGGGATTTTGCGGTATCCTTCCCCTGCCACGCCTACCAAGCCACACCCAAGCCATGACCACAGAACGAGTAGTAAAAACATTTTTGAATCCCACCATTGGACAACATGTTAGAAACATGGTGAAATCAGAGCTTGAATTGGAAGCATAAAAGGTTGAGGATGGAAGTTTGTTCTCTGAGCTTGTGGGTTGGTAATAGCCAAATCTGGCCCTACATTCTGCCTCAGTTTACCTTTCCAATAAACAACTGAGTCTTAACACAATTGTATTTAACACAACAAAGAGAATTCAAGAGGAAAATTGATTGGACAGGCTAAAATTAACCTCCTCTTTGCATAAGAAATCAGTTACATGTAGTCAAACCTGTTATATGTTTGCATCCCGTAATTTTTGAATCCCACCACTGCTCTTATCTACTATCTGACTTATGAAGACCTTCTGTGATGACAAAATAAACACAGTCACAAAAAACAGATGAAGCTCCTTTTATTCCTTCTCTTTGCTTCCAAGCTCCAAATATCCTTGATGAGAAACAAAAAAACTCCCACACAAGCAGTTACAAGAAGGAGGAAATGCCTTTTAAATTATAAAGAGTAAAAAAGCAACAGAAACCAGGCAAGATAAGGGCTGGAGGACATCCACAGATAACAGAACATACACTGGGAAGGATGCCAAACTCAGAGAGGAATCATAAACAAGAGATATTTCCAAGCTTTGTTTCCAGCACTCGTCCGTACGCATGTCTGTCCTCTTATCCAGTTGTCACAGCTGCAGCCCATGAAGAGGATCAAGGCTCTCTCCTCCCGAGGAGACCATGTCTCTCCCTTATCCTCTCCTCCCTGCGTGTCCTAGGATGAAGAGGGGATGGGCCTGGGTCCTCCTCTGAGTGCTCAGCTGGCCTCTGCCCTTCCCCAGCCTCCTCCACAACCTCTGGAGCCACACTTCCACTCCCTGTTGGCTATTCCTCCTCTCCCTCAGAGTCAGTCTCTGACACATTTCCCAATTCAAAGGAAAAGGAACCCCGGCAGAGAAAATCTCTAACAGCTTGCGTGGTGGTTAAAAACTGGTAATACCCTATGGTTGATCGGTTCACACGGTAGTCTTCATCGCCAAATAATAATCAGTGTATACTTAGAATACGCAAGTCTCAAGGACCAGCATGTTTTAAAGCCTCCAAGAACAATTCCTGACATCTTTTACTGCTTGACTCATGCTGGTTCCCATGGGAATGGGGGGAGGGATAATTTGGTGTTGAGGATGGGGAGGGTGCTGGAGGACTAAGTTGTGTGAACTGAAAAAGGTGAGACGCTTTCCTGCTTTCTGTGCAACTGCATCCACTTATCTTTTCTAGGCCAAGGGCAACTGTCTTGGCATACCAGATGCGTGAGACACCACCTGAAGATGTACCCCACATGACATTATACACACCTCAGACTGGATGCCCAGTTTGAACTACTGGGGGAGGGGACTTGGGATAACTTTCCATGTGTAATTACGGTGCCTATTTGCCTCAGATCTTGCTTTCTTTTCGTTGCTATTACTTCAAATCCAGTAAAAGTACTTTTCTCTATTTTAATGGAGTCTAAGGTTTTCTTTCTTGGATTTCAAATGGAGGCACAGCTGACACCCCTGCCTTTCCCACCCTAAAGTATCCAGTTAAAGTGAAAGCTTTGGGAATGTGAGCTGTCTCTTCCAGGAGAAGAGTTCGGATCCAATCTCTACCATGATCTGACCATGATAGCTTTTGCGAGTTTAATTTCACGAATCGGATCGTTTACATTTTGTCCTCTGCCTTAGGCACACGAGTGCTGAGGCAGTTTGCTCTGAAATCAAATCCGAATTCAGAATGAAATGGTAGGTATTGGCTTTCATCAGATAAAACTATAGGAGGATCATCTATCGAAGAAGGGAACGGCTAACCGGAGAAGATGATAGCTATCTTTCCAACTTTGAAGGCCATCGCAGGAAAGAGGAGGTGGATTTATTCTCCACCATGGCCCCAGGGAGAGCAAGATCCAATAGATGGAAGCTTCCGAGAGGGAGATCCAAGGGGGTTGAGAGATCTATGAAGCAGGGGCACATCAGGGGTGGGATTCTACAGGTTCGCAGCTATTTGCTAGAACTGGTTGTTAACTTTCTAAGCAGTTCAAAGAACTGGTTGTTAGAAGAAATTACTGGCCTAATCCTGTAAGGAAGGCAGGAAGGAAACATTTTGGTGTTGCTTACAGAAACTGCCTCTCTGTTAACCCTTATTACACTCTTGGCAGGACTAGACTTCCTGTCTCTGGAACTTCTCTGGAGTTTCCCTCCCTCCTTTGCTGGTACTTTGCTTGTGTGGAGTGACCATTCAAAGTTACAATGGCACTGAAAAAAGTGACATGACCATTTTTCACACATACGACTGTTGCAGCATCCCCACAGTCATGAGAGGCCAGGTGAGGAGATGTGTGCCTCGATGATATTGAGTTGGCCATGCCCAGCCAGTAACATGACCACCAAGCCATGCCCACCCAGTCACATGATCACCAACCCACACCCACCAACTAAGCCACACCCACAGAACCGGTTGTTAAAAAATTTTGAATCCCACCCCTGGGGCACATCCTGCTCCCAGAAACCAAGGAAATCATCACAGTAGACTTTTCAAACAAAGGTTGGACAGCCATTTTGCTTGGGATGGTTGGAGGATGTCTACCCTGAGCGTAGGGCTGGGCTAGAATCCTAGAATAGGAAGAGACTTTGGAGGCCTTCTACTCCAAGATCTTCAAGTTCTTATCCAACTCTAAGATGCCCACAATTCCAACTCTTAATAACAACCTACCACTAAGGACAGGTATTACAAAACACTACCGTGTGTTAGTTTATATGCAGTGCCAAGCCATGACAGAGCTGCACTGTTGTGCTTTCTTCTCTCTTCTGATCCTAACCCCAGATCCCCTTACTCCCACTTACTACAAGCTGAGTTTTGGGGTTTGGTAGCTAAAGTAGCCACCAAGAGCTTCTGCTTCTTTTCTGAACTGGATGTGGGAACCACGATTAAACCCTTGGCTTGAAGGAACAAACGAACGATGGTGTTTTTAGACCTTAAAGCAAATGGTCACGGCTGAAGACAAAGCAAAAACCCACAAGAAGCGAGTAATTTTTAGCTGAACTCTCTGTTCTTTCAATAGGCTTTTGAATATCAAAAAAGACTTACCTGTAAGGAATATTTCAGTCGGTTTCCAGGGCTGGCCATTGCAGCTAGAATAGCCGTTGTGGTTGTCCCAATATTTGATCCCAAGGTTAGGGGGTAGGCCCGTTCTATACTTATAACCCCAATTCCTGATGGGAAGAAAACAGGAGGAATTGCATTGTTTGAATGTAATTTTATACAATGCCATTAAGAGTTCAAAATATTTCATCCGTTGAGCGAGTGTCTTTCCCATAGTCCACAATTCTGAATCAGAGTAGGATGTTTTGCTACTGTGGGGAAATCGGGAAATCCAGGCAGTTCAAATGAATGTAAGAGTTTATTTGCAAGCTTAAGATCCCTGCAAGAAACTGAACTACTAACGGTCAAAGAAAATTGGTGGTAGATCAATCCAGCAAATGATTGAATGAGAAATTCTACTTTTTTTTTTAAATGCGCACACACAAAAAAGAATAACCAAAAGCCCTTTATGTTACATATATACATAAAGCTCTTACCAACAAGAGGAGTGATAGCCGAGGTGAACACCGAACTGCTTTGAACAATGAAGGTCATCCCAGCTCCTACGAGCATGGCCAGATAACCAGTTACCCAAGAAAACGGAAATGGAAAATCTGGAAAAGGGAGACATAAGAGATGCTAGATTTATGCAGCATGTTCTGTTCTATCCAAGCCTTTGTCTTAAATATTTATAATAGAGTTGGAAGGGGTCTTGGAGGTCTTCTAATCCAACCTCCTGTTTGGCAGGAAGCCCAGATAAATGGTTGGCCAATCTCTTCTTAAAAACTTCCAGTGTTGGAGCAACCACAACTTCTGGAGATGAGCCGTTCCACTGGTTAATTGTTCTAACTGTCAGGAAATTTCTCCTTAGTTCTAGGTTGCTCCTCTCGATTAGTTTCCATCCGTTGCTTCTTGACTTGCCTTCAGGTGCTTTGGAGAATAGATAAGAATACAATAATAATAGAGTTGGAATGGCTCAGTGCCAGAGAATGGAGGCCTTTGAACTCTGGGGCTGGAGGAGAAGACTCCTGCGAGTCCCTTGGACTGCAAGGTGATCCAACCGGTCAGTCCTAGAGGAGATCAACCCTGGCTGCTCTTTAGAAGGCCAGATCCTGAAGATGAAACTCAAAGACTTTGGCCACTGTCAACTAAAAAGATCCTACTTTGGTCTTTTTAGCTGCCAGAAAAAGGGAGTGGGGGAAAACAAGGCATTCCTTGAATGCCTAGATAATCACCCTGGTAGCCCAAAGTTGTCAGAGCATAAGAAGGTTATTGGAGAGCATGATGGATGACTTTTGGAGATGGATGTGTCCTGCTGCAATCCAGCTTACATCCACATGGCCACTCCTAATAAATCAATTTACTTTTCTGTGAGATGCAGCTAGAGACTTCTGATTTGAATGAGGGTGGATTTGTTGGAGCCCTGACAGGCCACCTCATGAGAAGGAAGGACTCCCTGGAGAAGAGCCAAACACTGGGAACGGTTGAGGGCAAAAGAAGAAAGGGACAGCAGAGAAGGAGGGGGCTGGATGGAGTCACTGAAGTAGTTGGCGTGAGCTTAAATGGACTCCAGAAGATGGTAAAGGACAGGAAGGCACTAACAACAACAATAGAATTGGAAGGGACCTTGTCGGTCATCTAGTCCAACACCCTGCTCAAGCAGGACACCCTATACCAGTTCTGACAAGTGGCTGTCCAATCTCTTCTTGAAAGCCTCAAGTGATGAAGCACCCATGTCTGGAGGCAAGCTTTGGTTGATCGTTCTCATTGTCAGAAAACTTCTCCTCAATTCTAGGTGTAAATCTCTCCTTGATCTATTTCCATCCATTGTTCCTTATTTGGCTTTTGGGTGTTTTTGGAAAATAGGTTGTCCCTTTCTTTTCTCTGACAGCCCCTCAAATATTGGAACACTGTTATCATGTTTCCCCTGGTCCTTCTCTTCACTAGGCTCGATATATCCCATTCCTCCAACCGTTGTTCAGATGTTTTAGCCTCCAGTCCCCTAATCACCTTCGTCGCTCTTCTATGCACTCTTTCCAGAGTCTCAACATCTTTTTTACTTTGCAGTGACCAAAGCTGGATGAAGCATTCCAAGTGTGTTCTTACCAAGGCCTTATAAAGTGGTATCAGCACTTCACGTCATTTACACGAAGACAAATTCCTTGTGTGTCCAATCACACTTGGCCAATAAACTAAACTATTCTATTCTATTCTATTCTATTCTATTCTATTCTATTCTATTCTATTCTATTCTAATTCTATTCTAATTTTCTACTCTACTGTACTCTAATATTCTATTCTACTATATTTCATACTCTATTTCTACTCTACTCTACTTATATTTTATCCTACTCTACTCTTTCTACTCACTCTACTCTACTCTATATTCTACTCTACTCATATTCTATTCTACTGTACTTTACTCTTTCTACTCTACTTTACTCTACTCTACTCTACTCTACTTTACTCTACTCATATTCTATTCTACTCTATTCCACTCCACTCCACTCCACTCCATCCCATCCCATCCCATTCCAAAGAAGTACTTTTGACCTTATAACTGCTATAAAGCTACATTTTAATTATCTTTTTTAAAACTATTTTTACACTTTTTGTTTTTACAATTTTGGTTCAACCTTTGTTTTGTTTCTTGTACTTTTTGCTTTTTTCCCCTCCCTTTCTCTCTTTATATTCCCTTGCTTTTCTCTTTCTGTTGAAAAGCTTAATAAAAAAAAATTAGATACCGAAGAAGGAAAGTAAAGAAAAGAAAACCCCACAGAAGAAATACTTACCAGTATTGAGCGTTTTCTTGATGACATTTGCGACTTGTCCTTTAAGGACCGAGTTCAGCAGTTTGACGATCAATACCAAGCAAGTGCACAGGACCAACAAAGAGAGAGCGAGCAGGATGAGACCAATGGCCAGATCCTTGAGCTGAGATTCTACAAAAATGTGCTTGCCTACAGGAGGAGAAAAGTCAACAAGTGCTATGCAACTTATGTCACGTTGAAGCCAAAAAGTTGACGGTTGGGGTTGAAAGTCAAGATGGCTCCTGTACAATCACAACACTCCGCTAGTATTTTTATCTGGACTTTTGGGATCCAGATCTTGCAGAAACCCTTGATAGGAACCCAGGGGTGGGCTTCAAAAAAATTAGCAACCGGTTCTCTGCCCAGTTGCTGGGTGAGCGTGGCTATGGTGGGTATGGCCTAATTGGCCTCCTGCACCATGGCAGGGGGAGCATTTTCACCCTCCCCAGGCTCTGGAGGCTTTCCTTGAGCCTCTGGGAGGGTGAAAAACAGTTTCCCCGGGCTCCAGAGGCTCTCCAGAGGCTCTCCAGAGGCCAGAAACAAACTGGTTGTTGTACCGGTGGAATCCCAGCCTGGAGAACAGTGTATGGAATTGCATTCTGCAACTGGAGTCAGCACAATTATGAGGCAGATTTGAGGTAGTCGCCTTAAACAGGAGATCTTTAATAGTGGTATTGCTGGTCATATGGCCCATTTTGTATCTCCTAAAACAGTGGTTCCCAACCTTTTTTTCGCCCCGCACCCCTAAAGAAATTTCACTCGAACCTCGCACCTCCTGAAATTTAGACTTTAGGAACTACTGAACGCGTTAAATATATGGTAGGATTGAATCTTTTCAGCTATGTATGTGACGACCACTAAATAATGATACTTAACTCTAAAATGAAAACAAAGTTAATCCATTGCAAAAGAAAATAAAAATGCTAACATATAGCCAATATCCTATTATTCACCTGGACTTTTCTCGTACCCCCTGGAATATTGTCTCGCACCCCCAGGGGGTGCGAGCACCCCAGGTTGGGAACCCCTGTCCTAAAAGGAACCTGCTGCTTGTGGTTACAAATGGAGGGTGTTTAGGATCTGCTCCTACTTCAGGAGGACATTTGGCCACCATCCAAAACCCACCAGTGATCTACTTGACCTTCCAACACAGGGGTCCCCAAACTTGGCAACTTTAAGACTTGTGGACTTCAACTCAGCTTTGCTAGCTGAGGAATTCTGGGAGTTGAAGTCCACAAGTCTTAAAAGTTGCCAAGTTTGGGGACCCCTGTTCTAACAGGATGACTGCCACCTTCTTCTTAATCCCAAGCAAGCAACATGTCTCAGATTGTAGCCCTCTCTCTCCAACCTGACATTTTCCTAGCGTGACATCTGGCAATCTCTTGTTTTAAAAACAGATCTGATATCTTCAGAGAAGGCTGAGGCAACCTCTTTCCTTACATTTTTCAAGATACTGTGTGTCCGACAAGTTTTGGGCAGTCCAGGTCGTGTTTTCGCTGGTCCAGCAAAGGTCTGAAGACGTGCAGTTTTCGGATGCTGGGATGGTCGTATTCAGTGCAATCTAGGCATTGACATAAAACAGCTCGATCAAACCCAGTCTTTTCTTTCTTTTTTTTTGCAATCAATTTTTTATTTTTTGTTACAACAAAAATATCGTTGTGTGAACAGTGTGGTTCCGGAGTGTCTTACCTTTTGATACAAATATGACAATATTTCTCTTGTTTAATTATAGTTGACAAACCTTTTTTGTTAAATTATCAATCTTGATTATTCAATGCTACAATATGTTATTTTTGTGTCCATCTCTACAGTTCTAATAACAATCCACAAATTTATATTAAACTATAATTTTCCATTGTTTATCCCCTTTTTAATTTCTAAATATGCCAATATATATAGATATATAGAGATAGATGATAGATAGATAAATAGATATAGATATAGCTAGATATAGCTAGATACTCTCTCTGTGTGTGTATCAGAAAATTGGGTATTTGTACGTGGATCTTTGGTTATTTGGGTTTTCTCCCGCGTAAAATTGGAAGTATCTTGGTGACACTTCGACGAAATCTCATTTGTCATCTTCAGGCTTGTGTCTTCGGCTTTGTGCTTCTCGGAGTAATGTAAGCTTGCAGCTGCTTCTTCCTTTTAACTGCCAGTGGGAGTGAGACTTGACTGGGTGGAGGCTTGGCTGTGTTCTGATTGGGTGGGGGTGTGTTCTCATTGGTTGGGGGCTTGGCTGTGTTCTGATTGGCGGGGGGTATGTTCTGTTTAGGTGGGGGCTTGGTTGTGCTCAGGTTAGTCTTAGTTGCCGGGGGATTTGAGCTGGTGAGCTGTGATCCTGTTGTTTGGCTTTGCGTTCATGGTCATGCTACATCTTCATGGTGGGCGTCAGTTCACTTCATGTAAGGGTCAGAGGGGTTTGAAGCGGGTAGTGATGCAGCTGCAGTACGGCTTCTGGTCCATGGTCGTGTCTCATCTTCTGTGTGGGTGTGAGTCTGCTTTCTACATGGAAGTGTGGTGGTAGCATCTTGTGTGGCCCTCGTGGGTGTGGGTCTGGTGTCATTCTTCATGTTAGGTATTTGTTTGTTAATGAGGGCAGGTTTCCAAATGGCTGGTAGGTGGGAGGTATCATCTCGTTTATTCATGCTGTGTGGGCGTTTTTCTACCTCTATGGCTTCTCTGATTATTCTGTTGTTGAAGTGTTCACTTTGGGCAATAGTTCTGGAATTTTTAAAGTCAATCTCATGTCCTGTGGCTTTGAGGTGCTGGACCAGGGAAGAGGTTGGTTCTTCTTTTTTGATTGAGTTCTTGTGTTCTTCAGTGCATGCACTAATTCTTCTGTTGGCTTGTCCGATGTATGTGGTGGGGCACGCGGTGCATGGGATTTCGTATACTCCTTGGTTTTCTAACTCGATTCTGTCTTTAGGGTTTCTTAGGATGGTGGATATTTTTCTGTTTGTGCAGAATGCTGTCTTAATGTTGTGTTTTTGGAGGGATCTTGCTGATTTTGTCTGTAGTGCCTTTTATATATAGGAGGAGGGCTTTGCCATTCTCTTGTTCTCTGTCTTGGATTTTGGTTGGGGTTTGTTTTTGGATTAGGTGGGTAATTTCCTTTCTTTGGAATCCATTGGCTGTTAGTACGTTAGTGAGAGTGTGTAGTTCGGTTTTTAGGTGTTGTTCATCGGCTAAGCATTTTGTTCTGGAGATGAGTGTCTCGGCTACGGAATTGATCTGTGCTGGGTGGTGGTGTGAGAGTGCATGTAGATGGCAGTTTGTATGTGTTTACATACATTCACATACATCGGAGAAACCAACAGAAGAATAGGTGCACGCATTGAAGAACACAAGAACTCAATCAAAAAAGAACCGACCTCTTCCCTGGTCCAGCACCTCAAAGCCACAGGACATGAGATTGATCAGGGCTCACTTTTCAGCCCACAGATCACTTGACAAAGAAGAGTGGGGAAAAACAAGATGCCGTTACTTTAAATTGAAAAGCCAAGAAGCAGCTGCTTGGAAGGAGGTTTTTAATTGCAGAAGTGAAGTGACATTCAGCTTGTTTCTGGGTCAGCTCACTGATGATGTTACCTAATTGGGTCATGAAATGTCTGCAAGAAAACAGCCAAGCTCACAGAGCACCAAGGACCCCACAGTCCTCCTCCTCCCCCTCCCCCTGCAAATCCCACTTCCTTCTAGCACTGATAAAGTTACCTAGTAGGGTCATGAAACATTTGCAAGAAAACAAACAAGCTCAGAGAACACCAAGAACCCCACAGTCGTCCTCCTCCTCCTGACTTTTCTACTCTTTGAATTTTTATGATTTTCAGCATGACTCAAGCTGGATATATTAATGCGTATATTCAGAGTCAAGGAGATCAAAGTTCACTACAGGTAGTCCTTGACTTACAGCTGCAAACAAGTCCAGAATTTCTGTTGTTAAGTGAGGCATTTGTTAAAGTAAGTTTTTGCCCCCTTTTACTGCCTTGCCTTGCCTCGGTTCTTAAGCGAATCCCTGCAATCAGTACATTAGTAACCCAGTCATTAAGCGAATCTGTCTTCCCTATGGCCTGCGCTTGTAAGAAGGTCTCAAAAGGGGATCAATAGAACCACCATAAATCTGAACCAGTCACCAGGCCTCTGAATTTTGATCACGTGACCATGGGCATGCTGCAAAGGTCATAAGTGTGAAAAACTGTCATGAAGTTTCTTCAGTCCCGTTGTACCTTTGAGCATTCCCTGAATGAACTGTTTGTAAGTAAAGGATTACCTGAATGATATTCCACTGTAATATAAACTCTTTCAAAAGCAATAAACACAATCCCAGTCTGGATTTCCTAAAAGAATGTATAGCTAGAAAATTATCACACATTATCACCCCTCTTCCTTCAATGATTAGCTATCAAAGAGAAAAGTGACTAATTCTATGATAAGCCAGCCTCTTATCTGCATCAAATGATCCCTTTAACTCAACACTCACCACGGTCGTTTTAGTTTTGCACCAAACTTTCACCAGACTTCTGTTTTTTGCTGACTCGTCTCCTGTAGCGATGGCATTGATGACCGATTTATCGAGCTGTAAATCAAAGGAAGCAAAATGGAAACCCCAATTAATTGGGTCAATTGAAGAATCCACGTTACTTCTGATTGGCATTCTCTTGCCTTTCATCTTCCAAATGGCCAAACCCCAATATGACTCACTGGGTTTGAAAAGCTAACACGACATCAAAATAAAAATAGAACTTATTACAAAAGGATCTTGGCAACTATCGGACTGTGAGAGAGGAGAGCTGGTGCGCACGTACAGCTAGATTTGTGCGAGCAGTGAGCCAGCACACACAATTCGACTGTACTTTGAACCGCATGCATTTGCGCGCCCCACTTCCAAAGAGGACATGGGCAAGGGGGATTGGGAGACCCCCACTCTATCGTGACCAAAAAAAGTTTTTGTTGTTTAACGTTTATTCTGATTTTCGGGACAAGCTTGGAAGATTAGAATGGACTTTGAATCCAGTCAGAGGTGGTATTCAGCCGGTTCGGACCGATTCGGACGTACCGGTAGAGAAAAATTTTAAGTAGTTCGAAGAACCTGCAAATACTACCTCTTGTTGGCCCCGCCCATCTGCTCCCCATCCTGTCCTATATTGCCTTGGTTTTTACCTCAGCTGATTCATGCAGTAGAGTGGATTGCCACGCCTCAGCCGAGCTAAAAAAACAGCTACGCTCACCAGCGCTGACAGAGGGTGGTGTTTGAGTGCTGCGCACACACAAAGCGCATGCAAAGCATGCTCAAATCATGCTCTCATAGAACTGGTAGAAAAAATTTGGAATCCCACCCCTGAATCCAGGTTTACAAAACAGGCATTGGGATATTTCAATAGAAGAAGCTGCTCTTGTGCTGTTGTTTTTCCCCCCAAGTATTAATTTGGCTCCTCTGGGTGCCCAGCACAGAACGAAATGTATCCTGCACCAAAAAATAAAAATAAAAAAATAGGGTTGCCAGCAGGCAACAAGGATAATGGTGTTAGATTAATGGGAGCTGTATTTGAATCGCATAATTCTTCCAGCCTTTCAAAGGAGAAGGAAGAATGTGAAAAACAAATTCCAGAAAGATTTTTTTTCAATAAGAAGATTGTAAGGCTGAAATAACCGTGAGGCAATGATACCAGTTATCTTGAGTATAAAGTTTTAATTTTCTGAAAGATCAAACAAGATGTCCAACGAGTCTGACATTAGGTATCAAGAATCTAAAGAGATTTATATGGGTAAAGACTTAGTTGGGATCCTGAGGTTGGAAAGACAGCTGTTTGCACATTCTTTCCAGTTTTGTTGTTTCTCAACAATAACATTCATAACATTCACAGAGTCCCAAAGGTGCTTTTTCAAGAAGCAACTGGACTTTCTTGGTTTTTCCTTGAAGACTTTTCACTTCTCATGAGAGAAGCTTCTTCAGTTCTGACTGAATGGGGGAGAACGGAAGGATTTATATTCCTTGCAGTCCTCTGGTCATTAGTACTCTCTCTGAGAGTTGTTGAGGCCACTTGAAGGTGTATCGGAGTCCTTTCATTTCCCACCATTCAATCAGAACTGAAAAAGCTTCTTGGATGAGAAGTGAAACCTCTTCAAGGAAAAATAAAGGAAGTTCAGTTGCCTCTTGAAAAAGGACAACCTTGGGACAACCATGACCTGGAGGACTGAGAAGCTCCCTGGATGTTAAGGAGTGGCTTTTTTTCATTCCTAGCATTGCATTAGTGAAGGACAAAGAGAGGTCTGCGTAACCCTGTCCTAGCAAAGATTAAATCAACAAGGGAAGAATTTACCTGGATGATGAGTTTTGTGAAGGGATCTGTGATGACTTTTAGCAATTCGGGGGCATTTTCCCCACTTTCCAGCTGGAACGAGTCCACGATAAGACTCGTCAGGTGGAAGAGGTACTGAGAAGCAACTTCGATGGGCAGTAGGACAAACACAGAAAGCCAGTTAAAGAAATCGTGGACAGTGGCGCCAGCAAAGGCCCTGGAAACAAACAAACGGAGTACAATCAGAAGAAGTTCAGTAGGAAGACAACCAAAAACATAACAATAATAATATATTCTTTTTCTTCAAAGAAGGGTTGCTTCCTGATTCTGCCTTTCTATATTCCTTGCTTCATGGATTTTCTGGAATAAAATAATGACCCTTTAATCCCTTTATTTGGGGTGTAGATAGTGCAACTGAATGGAGCTGAGCATTTACTGGCTGGACGCCCTTCCTGACTCCTACCCAGAGTTCACAGCAGATATTTTCTCTTTGCGGCCTGAAAGAGAAACATTTGTTGCTGCCTAGGATTGAACTCCCAAACTTCTGAGTGGGAGGTGAGTGATTTCATGTCTAAGGCCCACCATGCCACTCTGGTCAAATTGAATTAATGGTGATAATTTTTAAATAAAAAGCTTCCCAAATTTAGATTGGATTCTGAGTTTGTGATGGCTCCTGTCTCAATGTAGCTTCTATCAAGCTGAAGATATGTGTGTGTGTGTGTGTGTGTGTGTGTGTGTGCGTGTGTGTGTGCGCGTGCATTTCTTGAGTTGCCTTTCTTGGCAGTGACATTATTACAGAGGTGGTATTCAGCCAGTTCAGACCGGTTCTGGAGAACCAGTAGCGGAACTTTTGAGTAGTTTGGAGAACTGGCAAATAACCATCTGTGACTGGCCACACCAACCCCATCTCTTCTCTGCCTCCCATTGAGTCCCAGCTGATTGGCTGAGTCTTCTTTGGTTGCCCTGCACAGGAGAACGGAGCTGGAAAGCAGGTTAGTGGGGTGGGGAGGGAATGGAGATTTTACAGTGTCCTTCCCTTGCCACGCCCACCAAGCCACACACACCAAGCCATGCTGTGCCCACCAAGCCACGTCCATAGAACCGGTAGTAAATAATTTGAATCCCACCACTGCATTATTAACCCTTATTGCATGTGTTAAGATAAGAATGTGATACCTTCTAAATTCATTCCGGTCTCCAGCCTGCATAAGTGCCACAATGGTGTTTGTAACCGAAGTCCCAATATTGGCTCCCATGATGATCGGGATAGCATGCTTAACATTCAGTACTGCAAAAATAAATATATATATATGTTGTGGCTCCGGGCTTGGATTCAGCTCCTGTGACTGATATGAGTTCAAGTGAGGAGGTCATGGCAGAAAAATATGAGCCGGCATGGCTCAGTGATTGGACTGGTAACCAGGATGAGGAGATGGACGTGACAAAGGACGACAGACCTGATGTATTAGAATTGTCAGGACCTTTGACCTCCTCTGGTTCCTTATCTGATCAACAGCCGGGAATGGCTGACAGGGAAGTTTTGAGAGAATCTTCTAGTGGAAATGAGAACTTGGAAAATTTGTGGTTAAATGTAAAAAACAGAAGACGGTTGAGAAGGCAAAATCAGCTGGAGCGAATGAGGAAAGCGAGTCAGTAAATTAGCACGTTGCCTCAATGAGTATAAAAGGACACAGCTGGGCTGGTACATTTTGCCAGGAACAAAGTGACTATTTGAGTGAGGACATTACAGCAAGAAGCTCTGAGACTGGAGATTTATTGCCAGGCCTGCTTTGCCGGACAGAGTAAAGATTTATGCTGTGGATTGAGGTTTCTGCCAGCCGTTATCTTGTAAGACTTCTTTCTGTTTGATTTAATTGTGAAACGGCTGCTTTCTGTTTTGTTCGTTTGAATTTTGAAGGGGAGTCATAACATATATATAATAATGATTACAGGTGAAAAGGTTACAAATGAGAACTATTGGCTCATACATGACTGCTTTCAGTGCATGGAAGGGTACCTCATTCCAGTTCCCCCAATTCTTTTCTACCAAATTTTTGTATGAACAGAGTTTATACAAAAGATAAAAGCTTGTATAAACAGAGGCATAGAATCAAATTCACATGAAGTATTAGTACCACTTTTATAAAACCTTAGTTTTATACAGGAGAACGGACCTGGAAAACAGGTTAGTGGGGTGGGGAGGGAATGGAAATTTTGCAGTATATCCTTCCCCTGCCATGCCCACCAAGCTATGTCCACAGAACCAGTAGTAAAAATTTTTTGAATCCCACCATTGCCATCGTTGTATGACAAGCTATTCGGAGTGGGCTGCTGTCTTGTTATTTCCTTATTTTGTGGCTGTCAAACTCTCCAAAGAAGTGATTAAAATCCAAAATCTGTTATATGGTGGACTCACGTGAAGAAGACACCATGCTGACAATGATAGAGGAAGATGTGCTAGAACTTTGCACCATCACGGTCACCAGAACGCCAATGACTAGGCCTGCCACGGGATTTGATAAGACAGAACCATCCTTGAAAATGTCTCCTGCTGCTTTGCCTGTGGGAATAAAACCTATAGGTAGTCCTTGACTTGCAACAGTTCATTTAGTTTCAACGGCTCTGAAAAAAAGTTACTTATGCCCATTTACCACACTTATGACTGTTGCAGCCTCTCCATGTTCAAAATTTGGATGTTTGATGACTGATTCCTATTTATGATGGTTGCAGTGTCCTAGGGGTAATGCGATCCCCTTTTGCAACCTTATAATCATCAATGTCAGTGAGGAAACCAGATCTATTTAACAACTCGGTTATTAACTTAAATGAGTGCCTCAAATTCACTTAACAAATGTTTTGCTTAGCAACATAAATTTTAGGCTCAATTATGGTCGTAAATGGACCATTACAGCTTTAAATAACCTTCATAACACTAGAACCTCCATAACAAGAAGAACAATATCTGGGGAGGATCTGATGCATCTCACAGGGTGTGAGCCATAGCATATAGGACAGAGGTTTACATTTATTAGAAATTTTGTTTCTATAAAGCACCACACAGATCAAACAAAGCAACAGTCACCATGTGCTTTACTGCTCAGCTACTGTATTTAATTGTAACAGGAAATAGGAAATTCTACTTAGAACAAAAGAGCATAGAGTATATACCATAGACCCACACTTGTAAATACTGCCATCTACTGGTAGAATACTACTGTAAGTTTTTGCACAGAAAAACATTCCAACAATGAGTACCAACAACATTATTCCACCAGTCATTCAAAAATGTGAAAAAGATCCCTTAAATGGTATTTAACTAATACTAAATGGTACTTAACTACCTGTCTTCATAGCATGCAAGATTTGTAGGGAAGGGAACTTGTTTCCTTAACTGAGATGAAGATTACAGTGGTTCCCACAGTTTTTTTGCATATGGGTGTATACACCGATCTACCTATTTCAAGTGTCTGTGAAAGGTGTTCTATTTATTGAATCTCATGCCAAACACTTAAGACACTAGATCAAGAGATTAGTTTGGGTAAGAGATTAAATCCTAGATTGACAGCTACCTACAAATAGTTGCAACAATGCAGGTTGAAGGAAACAAACAGGTCTCTTCCACATCACACCCAGAATACCCTTATGTGATTGACAGCTCTTATGACCAGTGGGCCTCAGAGGCTTACTGTGTTCAACTAAGCGAGCCCAGGAAAACTGAGTTTAGCCAGCCTCATCTCCCTTTGAGATATTAATGCTCATACACACAGTGTCTTTTAAGGGTGTCAAATGGGAAGAAAGAGTAGTGAGTCAATTGACAGCTAATCTCCTAAATGGCAGCTCAGTCTGGAAGAAACCTAGAAAATAAAATATCCTGGTGTATTCAAAGCGACTGCACCTTGATTGATTTGTTATAAATCAGCCTGGGAAATTTCTGTTCAAGTTTCCGTGTTTGGCCCGGTCAAATATTAAACCTACCTTATTGAAATCAACATAAATCAACATTGATTTATGTTATTCCGGTTTCCTTGGGATAGTCCACCTGGGTGAGGTTTAGCAACAAGAGAGAGCAAGGATCCAGGACATAAAACATATCCTATGGTGTGTTTCGCTTATTCCTCCCAAAGATGCTTTCATTTTGAAGGCAACTGGACTTTTTGAGTTTTCTTTAAGACGTTTCGCTTCTTCAGTTCTGACTAACTGGTGGGGAATGGGTCAGAACTGAAGAAGCTTCTTGGAAAAGTCGTTTTTTTTTTTAAAATCAGAAGGTCCAGGTTTTTTTTTTAAATAAAAAAAACCTCCTTTGTGACAACCAGGGCCTGGAGGATTGAGAACCTCCCTAGACCTCTAGGGACTTTGGTGCACCTACTCAAGTCTTCCACACTTTGGGGTCAAAATAACAATCATGAGGATCTACCCTTCATCAGTGGCTTGATGAAGCTATAAAGATGTTCTTACTGGGGAACTGATCTGTTTTAGATAAATGCATTTCCTTGCACATAAGCCAGTTAAAAAAAATCTTCCCCTAGTTAAATCAGGTTTTCCAAATGAAAGATCCAGACCAAGCAATCCGTACAAAGTTGTGATTAGAAGGTTTGTTCAGGACTGAGGAGTCCCGGGTTCAAGACCCACATCAGCTAGGGCGCTTCCTTGGATGTCTTGGACCCGTGCCTCTTCTCTCAGCCCAGTCTAACTCATGGAACTGTTGCTAAACCGAATGGGGTGCGACCTTATGGCTGCCAGAAGCCTCTTAGAACAGTGTTTACCAACCTCAGCAACTTCAGCATGGATGGAGTCCAAGCCTGGCTGGGGATTTCTGAGAACTGAAGTCCACCCACCTCAAAGCTTGTTGACACTGCCTTAGAGGAGAGATGTATGGGTGTGAGCATTGGACACTAAGAAAGCCTGATCAAATAAGAATTGGCGCCTGTGAAGTCTGCTGCTGGCATGAATTATTTTGTACACCATGGACAGTCCTAGCAACCAACAAAGAGGTGCTGAATTGTAGAAGGCCAGACACATCGCTAGAAGTCAACCCCAAGAGACTACGTCTGATTTACTCCGGCCATGTCTTGCATGCAAATTCATTGGAGAAGTCAGTGATGCCAGGAATGGTTAGTGGAAAAAGAAGGGACAAGCAAAGAACATGCTGGCTCAGTAACATCAAAACTGATGCAAAGGTGAACATCTAACAACTGAAAGAACCTGTGATTGACAGGGTAGCAAGGAGAAGACTTTCCTTTAAAGTCTTCAAGACTGAATGGTTAAAACTTTTCAACATTCAGATTTCATTCTGCCCTTTCTTATCTTTCTTCTGCCTTTCTGGATTCTGTTCCACCATTTCTTTGATATTAGTGTAACTCTTGTCCGTTGGCGAGTTATCCCGCATTGAGTTGGCCATGGCGAGCTGACCACAGAAAATTGTCATAGCCCCATCTAAGTTTCGTATCCATAGTACCAATAATTCTGATTATGTAATGGCTTAAAAACAGAAATATTTTTGATTCTTTTCGAACTGCCATAGATGCCTGTTGTAGATAAAGCTTTATTTGCACATTCCTTGGTCTTGAAGGGTGATTTATTTGGAGCTGCAATGCTTAGGATGTTTATTCTGCAGAAATGAAGCCGATAAGACTTTCTGTATCCTTAAATAAAGTACATTGTGATAGCTGAGTTAGAGACATACCCTGTTTTTCCCAAAAATATGATCTACCCTGAAAGTAAGTCCTAGCTTGATTTTTACATGTGCGTCCAATATAAGCCCTGCCCCCAAAATAAGCCCTAATTAAAATCCTACTCACTCCAGAATGGATGGGTAAAAATTAAGCTAGGGTGGGGGTGGGGTATGTGTGGAGTGCCCTAATACTTACCTTTGGACAGTTGCAGCCAGGTCTCGTACACCCTGACACCTGCCTTGCTGACCCATTTTTTCTGCAGCCAGCAAGGCTGGCAAGGCTTTCCTGAAGGCTGTAGCTGATAACAAAGCCCTGGATCGATCCAGAGCATTGTTATCAGTTGCAGAGACTCTCAGGAAAGCCTTGTCGGCCTCAGAAGAAGAAGTTCCTGAAGACCTCTGATAGCAAAAAGGAGGCTGGGAGCGACGTGTGCAAGTGAGGTTAGGCAATGGATGGCATACCCCAAAAATAAGACCTAGTGCCCTTTTTGGTGGCAAAAAAATATATAAGACAGGGTCTACTTTTGGGGGAAACATGGTAGAGAGATCATAAAATTCTTGTCTTACCTCCGACTAATTGGAAGGCAGAGCTGAGCACGTCCAAGGAGCAAACAAAAAAGTAAAGCAATATGAGCAGAAGAATAAACTTTCCGATGCCTCGCAAAATATAAAGAGCTTTGTGTTTCCCATCAAGTTCTGCAAAAGACAAAGCAAGTGTTTGTGTATAATTAGCACCAAATACAAGTCTCAGATCTCAAAAATCTCACCTATAAGTTCATAGAGTCAAGGCTGATATCGTGATCCCTGTGGATAATAAACCAGAAGGAATGTGTTCATCATTAAAATTTAACTTTAGCTAAAAGGAGTTTTTTTAAACAGAGCTTTAAAAACAGCCTTATTTTAAAAGGGCCCTTTACTTTGAAAGAGAAAATACCATTTCATGTTTAGATTCCTTTATTGATAGATCTCATTCTATTTCTTTTAATACACACACACGCACACACACACATGAAAATTTCCACCAACTCTTTCAGAAAACATGCTGTAAATCCAAATTTCAGGATTCTCAATCATTTAAAAAATTTTTGTAGCTATTCCTGCTAGAAGTTTGAAAATCCTGGCATAAAGGAAAATAAGCATCATAAGCCTATCATCTATCTATCTATCTATCTATCTATCTATCTATCTATCTATCTATC